AGCAACTTGACGCCTCTGTTCTCTTTGAGGTTATTTGAAGAAGCGAATTTACATCGACAATCCTGAAACTATGGAACGCTTAAAGGAAAATATTCGATGAGAAATTGACGAATCTCGTAGAGAATTGACACTGCCGTTCTTTTAAGGCTTCGTCACCGTACACAGCACATAACTTTTTGTGAGCTTGCGGTGCGTTTTTTCCTTTCCGGAAGTAAAGAAGCAAAATATAAAAAAACGAAAATGCTCGTTCTGTTTTTCCATTTTTTCAACCGACGCCGAACAAAAACTGCACAACCAATCGATACAATTTTTTTTACTGAATGCCAATTGAAGTACCAACTATTAAACAGCAATATGGGTTTGACATTTCGAATAAATACACCTAAAAATTCAACCAACGCCTAATCTATCAGTGAAATCCGCAATTACTTAGTTGCCAACCCAATAGTTATATCTATCAAGCGTGTCTCATTAATTGAAACTATTTCGAGGCGTTCGTCTCAAACTAGAATCGTCTTGTCGATCTAATTGCGGAACTTATCTGATCGTCTTGAAAATGTTCACCAAACGGAGAAAATGATTAAGTCGGGAACTTTACTAATTTCCCCGTAAATTATGGTAAAATTAATTGAAACGCTTCTTTCTCTCACCGTTTCGTACGAGTGAAATATTGAATAAACTTAACCGGGCCAGCAAAACAATACAATCGAATGTGTGTGATCGACTCTAATTGGATCTCGTGGCTTTAAATTGGTCCGTTCTCGGGCCGATACAACGTAGCTATGCTCACGAAGAACAATGGGCTTAATTTAATAGAATACCCAGTCCGATGTGGTCAGGTCTGATCGTCCACTGGTGCGAATCGATTTAAACGCCGTCCATGTAACTATAATCCAATATAGCACATTACACATCCGCTACACAGAACGTACGGATGCATTTTACAAGCTGACAATTTGCTGTCAAATGTGACATTTATCGCATTTAACAAAACTTATATGATATATATGCGTTAATAACTTTATAATAATTCACTTCTCTACATCTTTATGGTAACTTACGGTTTACTTTGATCCCAAGCAGAAGTTGTAAAAATTCTATTGGCGACATTTCTAGTCTACCGCGCCGCGGTAAAGGGATTAATTTCTATGTCGCTTGCGCCTCCTTGTTAAATTGACACAAGGGGTTTGTCGTTTTTAGATTAAATTTCAAACAAAGATATCGGTTCGAATTTATTTTTAGGAAGTTGTTGGAGAACTTTCGCCTTACATTTTTTCTTTTTTCTTTTGTTTCCCCTTAGATGGAAAAGAGGCGTTTAAGTTGATGGGTAACTGTTTCGATCGATAAAAATTATTTCAAAATTGTATGATTTAACAAATATGACAAACTTTACGCTAAACAGTTAAATGCAATCTCTCAAAGCTCTCTAAACGTTTAAAAACGGTTCTCTCTGTCATATTTCTCATGCATAACGGTTCTCTGGTGTACATATATCTTGTACAAACAACCAATGTAATTTGCTACTAATTTTATCCTGGCTAGTCTCGAGCGAAATGTCAAATATTATAATTTCCTAAGACGCGTTAACGTTAGGCCTGATTCTTCGAAAGAAATTCTGACGATTTTTCATCAAGTTTACGAGTTAATGAGTCAAAAATTTTACGACATCGCTTAGCATAAAATACATATTAGTAGCGCGAGTGTAACCGGCTTCGGGAATTTTTACCTGTCACGGCATGTGTTTTGTTGCAGTGCAGATCGCGTACAAACCGCTTATGCCTTTCGCGCACGCCATTATACTGGAAGACGATGTGGAGGAGGGAATAAACTCCGACAAAATACTCCGAGTGCCGTCGCGGTCGCGTGTCCATACGCATAATCCAGTGTGTTTGAGGACCTTAATCGAATAAATCGCGAGTACGTGTTACGCCGATAAGTAGATACGCAGAAGCTACATGGCGTTATAGTTGATATGCTGCATACGATAATAGAAGAGATACGACGGGGATGTTGCAGCGGGCAGGGGTGAAATCGGGCGCGCGGACAACGTGAGAACGTTGAGCGATGAATCGATGAAAATGAAGAGAAGCAAAGGAAAAGACGGGGAGAGAAATAAAATAACGGGACGCGTTTGCACGACGTGCACGTCGTTTAATAAACTAACCGCGCGTGTCGTTTAATAAACTCTTGCGTGGTCGGCGCGCGCGATGGCGCGCCATTTCCCGCGGACGTAAATTTCACCTCGAAGCGTGTATGCGGGATCGTGCAGCGAGGCGGCTGCCTCGCGTTAAGAAATCAAGCGCGCAGCTCTGCTCAGGTCGCGCTTAGTTCGCCCCATGAGGATAAGTTGTAAAGAGCGTACAGGGAAATGTGTAACAACTTGACCAAAGTATAAATCACAAAATAATACCTCCGCGTCATATCAAGCCATTTTTCAACGCTGACGCCGGCCAATTGAGATTTATGGTGCGGGAGTTTACGGTGACTTTTGCATTGAAATCAAGCGGCGACAGGCAGCGCAATGGATTCCGATTTCTATACCGCTGCGGAGAGTCGCAGTGTATTTTTTCGAAATTGTAGAAATCAAAATCCATTTCGAGGTGTATCTGTATTTTCACAGTTACCTCTTCGTCTATTCTTACTATCTATATGACGTTGAACAATTTGTACATCTTACATCGTGCATCGGCATACCGGCATTGAGTCAACGAGGACGTAAGTTTCATTTGATAATGTGTCATGTACAGACAGCTTACGTGATAAACAAGATGGATAGAGAAAGAGAGAGAGAGAGAGAGAGAGAGAGAGAGAGGGGGGAGGAGTAGAGAAGCAGGGAGAACAAGAGGGAAAAAACAGGAAAAAAATCTGAAGAATAATGACCCGACTCGTGTCTCGGCCGCGGAAATGCTAATTGCAGCGGAGCTAATTGCATCGCCATTGCGACATCGAAGTGTCGACGTGTCACTGTTGTCATACACGCGTGCGTGCCGAGCACTCGCCCTGAGGATTGCCCGTCGTTGAACCGATACGCACGTTTACCGGAGCCGCAAGTTTTGATTACGCTCGCGTGCTGGGATGTCATTATGTGACATGCCTCTTCAGGCGGACCTTTAACGTTAACACGCGCATTTGGAACACATTGCGACCATACACTTGTTTCACTTCACGCGCGCGCGCGCGTACATGGGTGGTGCACTCTAAAATCTATCAGGTTACTTGTGAAACTTGATTCCAGTCGGCTATACTAACAACTATGGTTGTTTCTTGTGAGAGACGAAAAGAGATAAAACTCGAGAGAGAGAGAGAGAGAGAGAGAGAGAGAGAGAGAGAGAGAGAGAGAGGTCATCATTTTTAATGACGCGTTTAATTATTACATTAGACTGATAAATGTATAATTCTGTTTTTACGCGTTTTCTTTCTTTTACATTACGGACACAGAAACGAACAAACAAACAAACTTTCCGATCAATCACTATCTATTGTCAAATTACTTTGGAGAGCTAGATATTAATTTTATCAACGCGAAATATTACGGCGTCGCACCCGCTGTAATCGCATGATTATCCCGTTTAATTGCACGTCAATCATAAATAATCCGCATGACATTCTTTTTCCGTATGAATAAAGCAGTCGATGTGTGTGCTGTTAAGCGCAACGCGAGTCTCGATATTCTTCGGACAGATGACTCGGCTGAATGTCTCGGCTGAAATGCAATATATCGGTGGATACCGCGCTTGTGTGCGTGTGTCGTCACACTGCTAGATTCCGCACGACGACCAGCACGTCGCTTTTACGTGAGTTATTTATACGATTAATAATTTATTACCCGTTCTTAATGTGTAATGCGAGCGAACCGTCGCCCCCCGTGAGAATCGTCGGCGGCGGTTTTGCGAAAAAGGATGTATGAAGAGCAGAACGAGAAGCTCCGGGACTAGAAGATTTCAAGGCGCGAGGAAAGTCTGTTTGTTATCCCTCGTGAGAGCGACGAGTGGATTAAGCGGATGACTTATAACTTTTGTTAGAGTTATAGTATACGGAGTGATAAATTGAGCCGCGCCGGACGGGATACGGAATATAAGCCGCGCGAGTGGATACAAATAAAAGCGATACACTTCGCTCTCGATAAGATCATAGGAGAAATCACGATGAATTGACTTACGTAAATATAAATTGCACTCGGAACGTTGTGTACGCGACGCAAGCTCTGCTCGTGCTGTTTCGCGAGTTGAGATTTGCGACGGGAGGATTCGTTAAGCCGAGCTTTCTCGGAGTATCGATCCTCGCGCGGGCGACGTGAAGAAAGTTAAATTTCTCAGAGGAGTGCCGGAAAACGCGAACGTCGGTCGGTCCCTAAGACGAAAGTATCGGAGGTTCCGAAGAGGAAAGGGAGCAGGAGACGGGGGTTGCGTCGATCCCTGGCGTACGAACGATGAAACGAGTTCAAAATCCTTTTTACCGGGCGAAACTTGACGCGAACTGGACAAGGGGCGGGCGGCCGCGCGACCAGCTGGAAAAGTTGGAATTATAAAAATTTCAAATTTCTGAGCGGTTGACACATGACACGACGATTCATACACAAACAGAGAAAATAAGAATCCCATCCCTCGGGAATTCGCGCGACAGAGTTTCTACGACTGCACCTTCGCGTTTCGAGATATTCGGAGATACGATACAAGAGTGCGAAATTTCTGAATAAAATAACGCATCGCAGGCACTTTTTCCTGGATACTTCCACAGGTATTCCTGGGTGGTTGCTATTTTCCGAAAACATCTATTTATAATTAACACAGTTTCGCTGCGAAATCTGTTGTTCTCTCTCTCTCTCTCTCTCTCTCTCTCTCTCTGGTCGAACTCTGGGTGAAAATTTTCATCAATTATTCACATCAGACAGATGCTCACGCATAATTGAACAAGCAATTTCCAAATTAGTCGGAATCTATAGTGCAAAGAAATAGAGATATCGCGTTAGGGTGTAACTTTACGTTGTATTTACATTACAGGGCCTTCGTTTTGGGGTCTGATAAATCCGCAGTGGTCCCTCTGCAGCAAGGGAAGACGGCAGAGTCCTATTAACATCGAGCCGGACAAGTTGCTCTTCGATCGTCACTTGAGACAGGTGCACGTCGACAAGCACAAGGTAATCTATCCGATCTTTCAGTCCGCAGAATCGCGCTGTAATTCATCGGTATCTATCGCTGCCTTCTGGGACGCGCGAGTGTTCCGAGAGAAAACCGGGCTCTCTCGTTATAGCAGGATCTGATTTAAAAGTTCATATTTGGGAAATTTATCGGATCCTTTCCGAGTGAATTTCCTTATTTTCGCGAGTAAAGATTTATCTCGAATTGGTGGAAAAAGTATATTAAACATTGATATGTTATGATACGTTAATGATTAAACATTTTTTTGGCAAGACGCTTTTTATATCACCTCATTCCTATAATATCGTGATAATATCGTAAGACAACTAAAAGATAACTCAACGGATAACGGATTTGTGACGAGTTCTCCGAAGTGAATTCAGAATCTCTACTTTCCCTTTAAAAATCATTATTTAGTTTTTTCAATTTTTCTGGTGAATTAAAAGACATCTACCTAGACCAGGGTTAAAATGAGGCCTAAATTTGCGAATTTTTTGCAGAAAAACGGAAAGAGATAGAGAAGATGTTTGTCCTGTTGAAAATATCATACTTTTCTTTAGTTGAAAATTTAAATTTTATTAAGAAATTTCATTAGATGGCGATGCTATAACATATTTTGCACAAAATATTTTTTAAAATAACGTTTGTGGTGACCACCGTTGCAGGAATTATTTGAAAGCAAAATCGCACAAGACTCATTAAGTATAACAATAAGATTCATTGAAACATAAATGTAATCTTTGATATAGCCCTTTTTCGAAATATTGTTTTTGGCAGCTGATCAAAGTTAACACAGTTTCTTCACTAAAAATATTGCTGTGAAAAGGCTGTGAAAAAAAAACTAAGCATCGAAAGAAAAACTCTTAGAACAAAGACTAATGTTCAACAAACATGTGTAAAATTGCAAGCCGATTGGTTGATGCGTTCTCGAGATACAATTATCACAGGTTTTGAGAAATACGTACCAAGAAAGAAAGACGCATTTAAAGTTTTACATTAAGTTTACACCACGAAAACATTACAAATTTTACATTTACATCGAATTATCTAGGAGTATAAAGTAAACCCTCTGTCGAAGTGCATGCCTCCAAAATGTCTTTTTGTTCTTGTCCACGACGTAAGCTGCTGCTTTTGTGCTGCTAAACGCACGTTCTTCTGTCTGAAATACGTAGTATTTCGTCCTCTATAGCAACGTATATGTGCAGTCGAGCCTATTTGCACTTGCATTGGTTGGAGTATATTTAATAACACTCTTGCATCTTCATTAAATATACATGCGACAATATATGCAGCTAATTTACTGTTCGACCATGTCGGGGAGTTGCTTATTTGGATAAGAACCGCTGCTAAATCGACCATCCGTGTTTGCAAATACAACTTTGTTACTTGATATTGGTATACGATAAATAGGAAAGATGGACCTGTGAAAATTAGAACGACCCCACTGCGAATCCCCCGTCTGTCTAACGCGCTCGAACGTACTCGATTATAGTTTTATGTAATTTTTATATTTTTGCCAAATCGATTTACAATTTCATTCAAGCATTCTTGAGACATACTTTGAGAATATGTAAAGAATAGGAATTGTTTTCTTTCGAGCCGCTTAGATAGATATTCCCTCTTGAAACTTAACATCCTGTTAAAAAAATAAAAAAAAGAAATATAACATCTTGGCTCTCCGTGTGTATCATCGCACATTCGATCGGATCGAATCTGAGAAAGACGAGCGGGCGAAGAAATAAATCTTGAAGTTCAGCCTCGCGTCCCGTGTGCACGTCCACTTCAAATGAAGACGAAAGAGTCGTGTGATGGACGCTCGTTAGTCAAGCGGAGCACATACCGGATGTCCCCCAGCGGGATGATTAAATTGCTCGAGTTTTTGCGAGCGAGGACGGGTAATGAGAGAGATCTCATTGATATTAACGATTTGAAAACGCGCTCACTCATTACGACCGTTATGCATTGTTTGCATCGAATATGTTCGATTGTTGGCTATCGCGTGTAATTACGCGTCATACACTATTACGCGGTATCACAGTCGCGTTGCTTTCAACGCAAGATCGATATATAAAGAGCCGAGTTTCATAATTAAATCATATCAGAATAAAATTATAACAATGTGGTGATTATTTTAATTATTCGTGGCCGGATGCACACATTATTTCAGGTGAAATGAAGTACAAATGGTATCGCATGGCTTGAAAAAGTAAATGCAGCTGACTTTAATGAAATTTCATAATTGCACGATGTAACTCGATTCACGTGCCGGATAAATATATATGATTCTGTTTAACGTTAAACGCAACAGCAATTCTCGCTCTCTATATATTATAATTTTGTTACTTTTATTGTAATGTATGCTAACTGAAATTTCGCATTCGCCGCTATTCTTACGCGAAATAGTGCCGAAAATTACATTCGAGTATGCCACTTGCAATTCTTTTTACAACGCTCTCGCAATTTCAATAACATAACGAATACACACCTTAACGAAGGTGTCGCACCTTCTGTTTTTCATAAAAGTTAAGCGCGCAATCGAGGAGCTCTGACGAGACGAGCGTTACATGCTCAATAACCTTTTTAATGAAGCGAACATAAGACCGACATTTCATTAACATCAGAGCTAAGTTAAAATTAGAATGTCAAGAAAGATTCATTTTGCACGAGACACCTTTCGAAAAGCAAGAATAAAATCAGGTTGGTTACCGCCGTGGAAGTATTCCCAGACCTGTCGCGTGATAGTAATGGATTTGGAATTCACCAGCGAGACTGCTCCACTTTCGCGCTGTCCATTTTTCACTGGCCGAGTTCGTTGATTCGATAATAAAGTCATTAATTACGAGGTCAGCTATTTAACGCTGATTTCCGCCCCATCAGTGACGATACCGCGAAGCCTCCGGAAGTGCTAATTTTCCATTAAGAAAACATTTATTCAGTAGCCTATCGCGCTACTAGCTTGCTCGCGGCTGCTCGACAACGGTGACTTTCGGTGAGTCTCGAGTAAAATACACTCCTGAAAATTCACGCGAACCTTTCAAATTATTTCGTACAAATTTACAGACTATGCGTATATCAATATTTGTTTCATTACATTACACGGTGGATCGTGGAAAATTGATGGGAAGTGCGGGAATGTGGCCTTATTTCTTGCTCAATCTGGGCGAAACTTTCAAGTTTCCCCGTACGAAAATGTAAGGGAAAGTTCTCGTTCTCTTTGACCTTACGAATTTTAACACACATTCGTGACCGTGGTAATTAAATTTTAGTTTAATTCTTCGCGCACACCGCTGGCAGTAACTCACAAGAAATTTTTCATTAGCATATCGTAATATAATATTTCGAGGAATTATCAGGAAATTTTATTATCTTAATGAGAAGAAACATGCAAAAGAGTAGTGGTGTGTTGTGTATAATGTAAAATAACGTAGATAATAGTAATACTATCAGTGATTGGTTAGTAATATACTTTGGATAATAATATTAAGTGATACAAATTTTTATTTATCATTAATTCTTTATCACAGATAATAATGTTATCCTTGCAACCACGCTCGTTGTTTTGAATTTCCACATTTGCATGTACAAGAGTGACTCATGCATGCAATATGAGCGCATTGAAGAATACATTGAGGGCTTGAAAGCCGTTTATAAATGCATGAATGAAAAATCTCTGTGAACTTTCGATACGGAAGTATGAACTTCGATGTTGAATAGGAGAACTTGCAACGTTGCTCGATTCACATCTCGATTTATATATTCTCAAGGATACATTTCTCCCTCACGCGATATAATTATATCCGAATTTTGCGGAGAGAATCCAGAGAAATGTTACATATAGATATATATCCGAATATACATATATATATATATATATATATATATATAGAATTACGTATAATTACGTAAGAAATATAACGGAAGCGACAGATAAAAAATCATCTACGTTCTACTTGCGCGAGAAACGCAAATGACACGAGGATAATATGGATCATGAAAATTTTTCGTCTCGAAATTTTGTCCGCAGAATTATGCGCGCTTCGTCAGCTGTATGATGCGCGTTGTTTATTTAAAATAAATGTTTCTTTTTTATTTTATCATCTCACACATGCTATCGTCAATGCGAGATAAGTCTCTCGACCTTACGTCCAACACAATCTAGTGTCAATTACTTATTCACGATTCCGATATCCAATTCTGCCGATCTGTGCGGCGCTACTTAACGCCCATACAGCGTGATATTTTTATCTTAGCGGCTGCGAAGCGTACGGTTGCCTTTCTCCTCTCGTGTTCAATGTGTTCAATGTGTTTCCTCCATTTTCCACGGGGCATGCACCGCGACGCTGGCGTGTCGCGGTCTCGGGGTGTTATTCCTCAGAAACGCGAACATGAAAAATGCTCCCGTACCGTGACAATGCTTCCTCCCGGATCGCATTCGATACGGGTTCCAGGCGGATACGAGCCGCTGAATTTCGCTCCCCCCCCCAGCCCCCCTTTCTTATGCGAGACACTGACCGAAACTCTCGCGCGGCGATATTGCCCGCGAAAGGATACAATAAATACGGTGCGATCGCGACGATAACTCTTTGTAGCAGATGCGAGGGACCAGAACAAGCTCGCGAGGAAGATATTATTGCATTGTCCGCGTCCTTTCAGCGTGAACTCTTTATCACGTTTCGTCGTCGTTTTGTCTCATTCTGGGTTCAAATAAATGTATATGACTGCACACAAATTAATAAACATTATGTCGTCGCGATCGATTGTAATTTTGAATCGAGAATTGCTCCTCCCTCCTCTCTCTTTCTTCTTCTCCCTCATTCTCTCTCTCTCTCTCTCTCTCTCTCTCTCTCTCTCTCTTTTTTTCTTTCTCCCTTTCACTCTTTTTCCTCTCGCGGAACTCATGACTCCTGGCGGAGAAAACAATGACGAGAGCCGGATAAAAAATGATAGCAGAGAATTAGGTTTTGCTCGAAAGGCGAGTTTCTACTGCGACAATACGGCG